TCTACCCACTGGGCCTTGATCCATTGGATCACTGACCTGCCACCAGCTAAGAGACCAGACAGCTCATCCTCTTCCAGTCGATCTTCGAGTCGTGGGCTTTTGGGATCGAAGAAACTGTGCGATTGTAGGAGACCAGTGTCTTGAGGATTTTTGCTGTTGAATCCTGCTTGATTCATCGCTTGAACCCGACTTTGCCAGCCTTCGGGCGAGTCTTCAAGGCCTATTTTGGGCTGACCTATCCAAAAAGAACACCCGAACTGCCTCTCTTCAAAAAACAGTGTCAAATCGCACGAATCGCTTCTTTCGTCCTCTTTTCGAATCAAACCCCCACAGCTTGTGTAAACCTCCGGCCTCACCCCCCCCCACCAAAAAAAAAAGAAAGGCGCCCCCCGCCACAAAAAGAACCGTGCGGCCTGTGGTAGAGCGTGGGATCCAGCGTCGGAGTGTAGCTCTGGCAGAGTCCGGAGACGCGAAGGACGGGTCTCCGCGCCACGGTCCCACATGCCACGGTCGGTCGCTATTTGGAAGACTAGCCTGCAAAAGTGGGTGGAAGCCCACGAATTGAACATCGCACACAAATGACTTCTGCACGCACACCAATTGGCACATGTTTCAAACTGGTCTTCTTGAAGCGGAATGTGCGGTCGCTCTGTGTCGCTCGGCGTGACGTGACCCCCCTTTTGGTGCGCACCGTTGAGCAGGAGTTGTTCACCCAGGCATTGATGAGACCTCAGTGACAAGGCCAATCCTTCCCCAGAAAACCGTGGACATTCCGTGGAGACACCGGGGAGTTCCCCAACGAAGGAAACGCGGGTCCACGCGGACGCGTTTAGGTGGAAAATGGGTGAATCCTCGTATACTTGGCTCAAATACACTATCTCTATCTATCTCTTATGTGGGGGCCCTATCTCGTTTGGACTACTTAATCAGGAGCTGATCCCCCCCCAGCAGCTTGGAGCTCCACCTTCCCTTCCCGCCTTCGATATAAGGCGTGGAAAGCATGGGTTTAGCGACGTCTGGAATCGAACTGACACCCGACATGCTTAGCTGCCGACTGGTCTTGCCACTGTCAGCATCCCCGATCCTGGACGTGGCGGCCAGAACGGGGTGCTGATTCAGGGATCGGGTTGGTCCTACCGTGGGAATACGGCTGGGACTTCAGGATCCGTATGACTTCGAACCAGCCCTCAGAGCAGAGCTCCAATGAGCCGGACCTCCTGCCAGGGCCCGACCGGGTCGTGTCGTGTGCAGGCTTCGGACAGAGACTGACTAGGATCTGGTCCGGAACCGGGAGAAAGAACATCTTCCCCAGTTCGGGGCTTCCCAAGAATCGCCCCGATCCGGCTGAGAACCCTGGACCCTTCCATCGGCCCCATCTGTTTGTGTTCCACCGGCGATGCTGAGACGAGCGAGAGACGAACCTGTGTCGAACCTGTCCAAATCAATGAGGCCAGAACCAACGATCCCAAATACACCCCGCGAAGTCACATGTCGGGGTGCTTAATGGAGGTTAGGGGTGCCCAGAACATCCACTCACTTAGGAACAATACACCACCTCTTTGTGACTGCTGGATGGAACCTCAAAAAATGCACCTTTGGAAGAGGAAATGGCCTCTACCACGGGTGGAACTCGGGTTACCGGCATCCAAGGCGCGCCCATGCCACGGCCAAGCGCCAAGCCGAGAACACAGGGAGGTGGCATCAACCAATTCAGACGTCGCATGGGACCCAGAGCATCACACGGTCCCCCCCCCCTTTCGCACGACTCCCAGAACTGGGAGTCCCCAACACCGTGATACGCAGGAAGGGGATCACATTGTCAGGCACTGAGCAGAGCTTCGTGCGGAGAACGCTTTGGGAACGAATCGGTGTGAGGAAAAAGAAGGAACGAAAAAGAACGAACATGGACATGGACTTGTTGGAGGTCCTTTTTGGGGTTGGAAGCTGAGTAGAGTGGTGTTATAGTTGTTGGGAAGCTTCATTTGTTGAGAAGCCTTTGAGCTTAGACAAGCCATCGATGAAGGATGTGGGTCCGCTCGTGGTCCGGATGTCCTCCACACGCTGTGCCATCCACCAAGACGCTCATGGACCCTCATATGGAGGGGTCAGGGGTCTCAAATCCCTAGGTTTTGAGGGACCAAGGGCTGTTTGGAGCGTCTGGGCGGCTCATCTGTCGGAGCGGGTGCTCTTTGTTCCGAGACACGGTGCGAACATCGGTGCGAAACATGGACGGCACGTGTCAATCCACTGCCCTCTCGTAGTTCACATCATGAACACACGCAGACCGGTTCCGACTGGGAACATGTGGAACTGCTCACACTCAGCATCTCCCGGTGCTTACCATACCGACCATGCCTGGGACCCCGGGCAAGGCGGCTTCTTAGCCATCTTGACACATTCATGCGGCCGCCCAGTGTTGCATGCTTGGAGAGTCAGTGATACTTTAGGGCTTAGTTGGAGCACGTAGCTCAGAGTCAAAACCCTGCATGCAACCCCAAAATTGCCAGATGCCGTTTGATTTGCATGCCCTGTACGAAGAACCAGAATTGTACCTCAGGACTTTTGCATGCCACATGCATCATGATCACAATGGACAAACATCTTCTCGTCCGGCCGCTCATGAGCTCCAACGGAAAGTCTGAAGCGCGGGCGACATCTGGAGGATGGGGTTTACTTACGCACCAGCTCAATGACCGTGTTCGGCTTCTGGTAACAGGGGTCAATGGATGTCAATGGGGAGATTTCGGGTGGAATCACAGCCTTCACAGCGGTCCATCTCTTGGATGCCCATGGTCCCTTCGAACCTCCCTATATAGAGTGTCAGGTCTCCGAAATGGTCGATGAGCAGACCGCCCAGCAACGGGCCACCAGGGAGACCAGGAGAGAGACCCTTCGTGGCTCAGCACGTCGTGGCTCAGCAGCGCGACATGGGGCGCCATGTGCTTTCTGTGCTGCCGGTCATCCCTCGAAACGCTGCCGGTCATCCTGGTACATGGAGCCCGTGCTGCCCTCGACCACTCGAGGAAAAAGATAAATCCATCGCAAGGGGATGGAGGTCTGGACTCCCATGATTCCAAGAAAAAATCTGGATAAAGAGCAGAGGCAGACCCTGGTACAACTGCAAATCAGCTCTTTGGGAACAAACTTTCGGCTTGCCAGCTCCAGTGCTCCATGTTGTTCTCTTGGCTAACTCGTGGCTACGCTGCCGGCATGTTGTCTTGTCAAAGCTCCTGTGCCCTTGTGGTTGAACAAAAGTAGGTGGCTGACATGAGAAAAGGCAGCCTCCCAGTTCTATCCTGTCTCAAAAGTCACTGTTCTCTCACGCATGTCCAAATCACGTCCTGCGTGTGTTTGGCCCTTTTTTGGCTCAGATGTCGAGGCTGGCCATGTGTGGCAAGCCAGAACCATGGAGGATGAGCGACAGCAGCGACAGCAGGTCAGGTCAGTGAGAAGGACTCAATCGATCCGGCTCCACAAACGACGATCCAGGACCGTGAGGTTTGTTGTCAATATTTCTGTGAGAGGATATATAAGTCCGGATAAGTTGGTTGACCTACCTGGAATCCGAACGTCAAAATACATGATGACGGGGCTCCAGGTTTTGGCCCATCCCCATATGACCTACAGTACTACCTACTATACCTATTACTACCTACTACTGCTGCTGCTGCTGCTGCTGCTGCTGCTGCTCCTACTCCTACTCCTACTCCTACTCCTACTCCTCCTCCTCCGACGACGACAACGACGACGACTACTACGACTACAGGACGACTATGACTACGACTACGACTCCGAATGCTACTCCTACTCCTACTCCTACTACTACTACTACTACTACTACTACTACTACTACGACTACGACTACTACTACTGCTACTACTACTACTACTACTACTCCTACTGCTACTGCTACTGCTACTGCTACTGCTACTGCTACTCCTACTCCTACTCCTACTCCTGCTCCTCCTACTACTACTACTACTACTACTACTACTCCTACTGCTACTACTACTACTCCTACTGCTACTGCTACTGCTACTGCTACTACCGCCACTGCCACCGGTCACCTGTGTGTTTAAATAGGACAGTGCAGCTATAATTTTGAGCCGCAGCCCAATTTGAGTGTCGGGAGGTCCCTCTCCCACGTTGGGGAAATGATTGGAAATGTCTGAAACCATCTGAAACCCATTGCTGGCTTTGGGAGTCCTTGTTTTGAACATAACCTATCGCACACTTTCTCAAGGATAGCTTCCGGCACGTCTGTTTTCTGTTTTTGCACTTTACTATCTATGTGCTTTCGGCGCATAGTAGTCGCCGCTTTCACTGCTCAGCAAACTGCGATCTACGTTGTAAAAAAGCAGAGTGATGGCTTTTCCACCTCACTACCTCACTCGAGAGGACCGGAGCCTGCCACTACCAACCCTGACCCTGCCTGAACTTGCGAGCCACTCATTCCAGACGGACTGGGCAGATCTATAACTTCACATCGACTCCAGGTTCGATGCCGAAGGATCCCAGCCCCAGCTGAGCTTTTGAAAGACTCTTCACACCACGTCGTTCCCAAGTGTTCAGCCCGAAACAGACCGCGCCTTCGGCCGGCCGAAGCGAAGGCTTAGCGGGTGCGTGCCATGGGGTGGAAAGCCCCGAAAAGCGGGTTTAAGGTCAACGGGTCAAGTCCTAAGACATCCACAGAGCCCAGCTTTTATACCAGCAGTCACAAAGGGGTGCCTATTGGGATAGGAGTGCCATGGGGTGCCACTTGGGGACTAAAAACCACCCCGTCTTGTGACTCCTGGTAGGGTTTGCCGGATCATGCCCGGAATCATGCTTTACGGGGTGGACCGATGGGTCAGCATACCAGGCGATGGGTCGTACAGTGTCCCGGTGTCCGTACGAGTCTTGTAGAAGAATGGTGTCGACGTTCGACAGGCCCGGCCATGGGTTTGGGGGGAGGCCCAAAAAGCCAAACTCAATGTGTGATGAGAGTCATCCTTTGGTAAGAAAGATGTCGGGACCGGAATCCTTGGTGTCGAGCATGGCCGAGGCGACCGTGCCCCCCCCCACTTTTGGGGTGGAGAACAACGCCAGCAGCTTCGGCGCAAGAGGCTCCAAAGCAGAGGAAAACGCCTCGCTCGCTTTCGCACGCAGGGTGCTCGGTGGGCAAAGAAGCTGGGCATGGCCTCTGAGACCCCGAAGGTCGACCTGTTTGAAACTTGGAGCGGTTTCGTTAGCTGCCTGTTCTGCGACCAAAAATGATGTCGCTTCACCCGCTTCCGGACCGAAATGTCCGCCTCATTCCAGTTTGGACTTCTTTCAATGGTCAACAGGGAGTTCCGCGCAAAACAAATCAAATAGTACAGTCATCACTGTTGCCGACTTGTTGCCATGCAGGACGCACCCTGATAAACCTAGACTCTACTGACAGGTTCACCTCTAAACGTCGACTGAGCAATCCCGGTGGAGAAAAGCCATGTGAGCTATGGTCGGAACTCCGTGTTTTTTTGGTATGGTCATCCCATCCCTCAAAAAATGGTCATATAAATCCCCATGATCCAATGGATGACCATGGTTTTAACCATGGCTGTGAGTACGCCATCCCGTCATATAAATCCCTGGTGGTGGATCATCCCTAGTGTTGGACCAAATGGCTCATGTCCGTCCCGAGGGGAGGAGGTTGACCACTGAATCATGGTTTGCGGCTGGTCTTGGATGGGATGGGCATGTCTATTCATACACGAAGACTGCATACTCTCCACCCAAAAGAGACCCCCAACACAAACTCTTGGCACCACTCCTAAGTCTTGGCTTCTGTGGGGGCGTCTCCAAACAGACCTTTTCCCTTCGACACGCTGCTCAGCCACTCTTTCGTTCACACCCCGATAGACGGATCCGTCCTGAAGGCAGCTCTGCTCCTGAAGTCAAATCAAAGAGGGAAATACAGTATATAAAGATCACTGTATTTGAACGAACAGTTGAAATTGCACCAGTAGATTAAACATAGAACCTGAAAATTGACCTTTCAAAGGCTGTGATATATGCACAGTCGGTTTTCAGGTTCTATGTTTCACCAATTAAAAAAAAAATAAAAATAAAAATAAATATATATATATAGTAGCTATTTATTCCAATACACAACACTAGATTCACATCCAAGCTGTCAGCTGGGGTCATTACAAGTTGCAAGTAAGATCAAATAAAGTTGGGACTGAAAGCAAAAGCAATGGATCGACCCCACTCAGGCGTCGCACGTTTTGCAGGTCAAAATGTGCAGAATGCAGGCTTCGTCTCGATTCGTAAAATGGAGCTTCAAAGGTTGATTCCCACCTCAAGTCTTTTCATCACCTTTATATGAAATTGAGCAACGCTTTTGCCAAGTGTTTCACCAGCGAATCGTTTGCAAGATTTCTGTACTGCCAGCTGTGCACATATTATTACATCAGCGGCGGGTTCACGGAATGGTTGGATTTGTGAGCGCTAATGACATTGGATGGCAACCATATGTTCATTGATTTCCCGCAACCATCAGCTGTTTTGGTCAGCAACGTTCCTGCCTTGCCCTTTGGGTTTGCAAGGCAGCTTGCATGTATATATGCATGCATTGCATGTTTCACTGAATTTACCATCTATGTATGACACTGCGTTGCTCGCTGCGTGCTGCGCGACCCTTGTTACATCTGCAACGCATATCTGCATGTAGCATCAATCAAATACCAAACCCATGTGCGCAACATGCCACCCATGTCACGCCATTCTCACCCACCCCGAAAGAGGGACTGCATACGCCGACCGTGCGGACGCATGGTGTATGCGGTGTCGTTGCTGGGCTGACCGCTCGCGGGCGACCGGAGTCGGGCGTGGTCTTCAGGAAATGGTTCCGTGGGCCACCGGGAGAGGGCATAGAGCAACAAGAAGCTACGAACGGGGCTCCTGGCATCACTACGAACGGAGCAAGGACGCTACGAACAGGGCTACGGAAGTGAGGAAACCGTGGGTTACTGGGAGCCTTGAGGAATACGAGGACGACAGCGCGGAGCTGCTCGTTCATGCTCGTTCGGAACGAGGAGGACGAGGACGAGCATCGGTGCGAGATGGCGATCCAAAAGACTCCCATTTTGTTGCGAAGTCCGCCCTAGCGGAGCACAAGCGGAGCACTTGATTCTGGCAGTCCGTGCTAGCGGATTCCAAATTAGTTGGGGAACGGACCTTAGCTGCATGTCCAAGACAGTGAAAAAACAGCTTTCACACACGTTTCAGAGCAAAGAAAAATTGTATCTGTGTTGTTTCTGTATTGCTTTAACATGGTGATTGTTGTATGATCTCTTACGCAATGCTCTCACACAGACTTACATGCCAATAACTTGCTCATTTCACTCCGTTCCCTTCGCTCTTGCGTAGACCGCTGCACTGTAAGCCCATAGATCCAGGGATACGCGCTGCCGTGCTGCCACCGCGATCAATCCAATACCCAACACGTCTCTGTGCAACGTGCAGCCCCACGGAAAAGGAAAAAAAAACACACCCCACCCCCCAAACGAAGATGCTCTCGTCACATCGTCACATCGTCAACCCCCACGGGACGAGCTCGACGTGAGACATCTGTCGGAGCTGGAAGCCCGACGACCAGGTGGTACAACGAAGCCCCATCCAGCCGGTCACTGTTGATCTCAGGATGAGGATCTTCGGTGCAACAAGCAACACATGAAACGCACCAAGAACCCAACGCGTGGGCCGGTGTTCAAGCCCCACCCGGTGGGGCGGTAACACGTAATGCTGAGTCGATGCACTCGGAGATCGTGCGAAGCGTGTGCGGTAAAATGGAGTATGAGTATATCTGTCTATTCCGTGCCAACCACGCAGCCACTGTGTTCGGTGCCTGTCCCTCCGTCCTGGGGCGTGGCTTTTTACTTCCGTGCCAGGAAGGAGCTGCTTAGGCGTGCCTCTGGGCCTCGACAAGACACGACAACACTGAACCCTGGACCTCAAGTTGCATTGAAAATCTGATGGCTTCAAGGGGATCCTTGCGATTTCTGAATCTGAGGGAACGAAGGGACTTAGTGGCTTGGGAGGCAAACTTACTAGATTGAAGATTTTGGTCCAGAGGAAGAGGAAACACAAGTCGTGTCTAGATCACCATTGGAATCGGCATCCTGCCGAAAGTTTCAGCCATGCTGAGTGACAAGCAAAACAAAAAGTTTCGGAGGAAAATCCAGTTCCATCTTGGGGCTATATATGTTTTTTGATATACAAGTAGTTCCCGGGCCAGCCGGCGGCGGAAGTTTCCAAAAGAATAAGCCTATAGGAGAAGGGCATGTGGCAGGCTGATTCGCCGACCCGCGATGTTCTTTGACAACCCAAGTTGGAACCGACCAATGGAGCGAAAGCGAAGCAACCACCGTCAACTGTCTTGCATTTTGCAAAATACAGAATAGAGATGACTCAGCCGCGTAGTAAAGTTGTACTACAAAGTCACCAGTTCTCAGCTTCCAGCTCCACGGCTTGCTCCGCGTACTAGAGTTGTACTACAAAGTCGCCAGTTCTCAGCTTCCAGCTCCACAGATTGCTCCGCGTACTAAAGTTGTACTAGAAAGTCGCCAGTTCTCATCTTCCAGCTCCACAGATTGCTCCGCGTACTAAAGTTGTACTACAAAGTCGCCAGTTCTCATCTTCCAGCTCCCCAGATACTCCACGTACTAAAGTTGTACTACAAAGTCGCCAGTTCTCATCTTCCAGCTCCCCAGATACTCCGCGTACTAAAGTTGTACTACAAAGTCGCCAGTTCTCAGCTTCCAGCTCCACAGATTGCTCCGCGTATTTAAAGTTGTACTACAAAGTCGCCAGTTCTCATCTTCCAGCTCTCCAGATGCTCCGCGTACTAAAGTTGTACTACAAAGTCGCCAGTTCTCATCTTCCAGCTCCCCAGATAGTTGTACTGTGCAAAGTCGCCTGTTCTCAGCTTCCAGCTCCACAGATTGCTCCGCGTACTAAAGTTGTA